CCCGTAAACATCCCGGGCCCGGTTCCAACCCTGATTCTAGCAAATGAATTTCAGAGGAACTATTTTTATAATGACACGCTAAACTGGGGCTAGTTGTCTGGCAACCTCTTTCTTATTGCGTTTTTTTACAAAGATGATTTTTAAAATCAAAATGGTGAAAAACGATCAAATTATTGAACGATTGATTTCTAACCAAAATCCTTCAAAGCGAATTAAAACAATTTTACAAAAAATTTTATTTCCTTATATCTATACCGACTTTATTGTCTGAAAAAACCTGGACGTTCTTAGAAAAATTTTATTTATTCAGTTGTTAATGTCTGGGAATGAGAAAATACTAATGATAAGTTTTTTGAGGCTGTTTTTTTCTAAAATAGCAGTCCTGCGGGAAAATTGAACTGACCTATTCGTCTTTTTCCAACGTTTTGATTACCAGTGCCTTTGTATCGATATGTTTTAAGACTTAAGTCAAAACCAAAGTTATCAATCAGTTTAATGAATATTTTTCGATGGTCGTTTCCGTCTAAATATTTGTAAAATCGTTATTTTAAAAAAAAAGCTGTCATGAAAACTATCAAATATAGCATTTAAATGTTTGAATTTTGATTTGAAAGTTTGAAGTCGTTAGACGCAGTCAGAATAACTCTAACGTTTTAATCGGCGCAGAGTTTTTCTTACAACTATTTCAGATCTTTTTACCGTTTTTGATTTTAACATTTTAGGCGAAATTCTTATAAATGCTGAAATTAACATTAGTAGTTTTTTGGACATTTGGGTTGCGAACTGACAGCTCCGACTACCAATTGTCTTCTGAATCGCGGGGGTAAATGATGCCTTCTTTTCTTGTCAATGTTTCAGTTCCTTTGTGAAGTGTGATTCAGCTTCTGATCAAAGTCTTCGATCGCCCCTTCTGAGTTTACGTATGTCCTGAAAAGTCCAATTTGGAGATCGCTTTGATGTTATTAAGCTTAATTTTTTAGTAGCTGCGTTTAAGATGTCGTTTTGGAAGAAAAAGATTTTTTGTTCTACTGTCACGTTTAAAACAGTCGACTTCGAGCAATTGCATATTAGATTTGTTCTCCTGCTACGTAGCTCACTTTTAATCTATTTCACATCGGCGACAGAGTCTTCCTGGTTATTCTGGCTTATGAAATGTCCACTATTTCTGTGTGGAGCAAACAGGAACCGCAAGGGTTTGCGATCTGTGTGTTGAGTGATTTGCGTTCCAGCAAGATTTGCTTTAATGGTGTCATCACTAACGGGATTGCTTCAGCCTCTTGTACTGTGGCTGGTAGCTTCCTTGAAGCGTAGATTACCGATTTTCCATCTTAAGAGAGCGCCAGCAACTGGTGTTCAGAAGTGTCAGTTGTCGCTGTCAATTCTATCTCCCAGAAAACGGTTGCAACATTTGTGAAAGTTTTTTAAAAAAAAACTTAGTCGGTAAACTCAAAGTGCTGACTACGTAAGTTACTGACCGGAAGCACCTTCGCGGCAAACTCGGTTATCATTCGTCCGTAAAAGTTTCATAGTTGTTTGTTTGAAATCCAATCACAAAGGCAATCTTCAATTTTGATTCCAGTAACTTATACGCAGTAGCTTGAAAGGAGTTGGTCATAAGTAGTTTGGAGTTTTTTTCAATGATCTTGAAAATCTTATCTCAAAGTTGGTCGATGCGCGCTATCATAATTACTTTTTAGGGCTTTTTTTCTTACAAAAAGAAGGTCGTCTTGTAGGCTAATGACGCCTTTGATTCTTTCCTGTGTCTTCTTAGAACGGCTTTGAAAAGTCGAGGAGAAGTTCTTGAAACCTTCAAACAATCTGCACATCTTGCACAAGTCTTACTGGATTTTGATTGTTCACACTTCTTTGTCTGTTTCGCCTAGTTTGATCTAATGTTATGAGATGTTGAAGTGTCTCTATGTCGGGTAATCAGTATTCTTCGTCAATTTTTTTTACCATTGAGCTTAGGTTTGTAGTCGGCGCAAAGTCTCAAGTGACTTGTTTTCTATCTCTCCAAAACGACTTGTGATGCCTTACCCACTTTTGCATGCTCCACAGGAGAATGGCTGAGTAACGGGCCTCAGATTCACTTGGGTTTTGTAACCTCTGATTGTTGTTATTTTTGTTCTTTTGACATATAGTTTAAGTCCATGGCATGTTTGCGTTCCTTGATTTTTAATTTTGCCAATGGCATGTTCCATGGCATGTCCATAGATTCCGAGCTATCCCATCTAGAGTAAGTTTTCTAAATCTCTCCTAGATGCTTGGCAAAATCACTGTTCTGTCAGCAACCACATCCGAACAAATATTTACTTCGTTGCCATCTATGATGACGTTTTACCATGTAGAACCCATTCCATTGATATTTGAAGCAAAAAGCATGACTATTTAAAAGTCGTTTTTGGAGATTTTCACTTCTTTCTAATTTGAGAAATGGCCCCATCAACATAATGGCCTACTGTCCTACTGTTTCTACTATTATCTTTGTTGTAGGCAAACTCATTTCAGCTCACTTACTCAAAGGGTTCCAAAATTATAGGGGTAAGCCTTCAGCTCTAGTTATTTCGTTGCCTGACCCATAATATATTTTTTTGGGGTTTTGCGTGAGGTTCATTACAAATAAAATTATTTTTTTTTTTGAATTTAAACAGTTTAGTTTTTTAAAGAAAAACATTCTCATCGAGTGTAAAAAGTCAATCTGATTCTCCAGAGTTTCATTCTGATGCGAACACTTCTGTTTGAACGACTGCTTTTTTTCATTGATCAAACAAACACCACTTACAATCAATGGAGGAGAAAACATAGTTTCGGAGTTTTTTGATTTTGCGAGTTTTTTGTCTTGGCATATATTTTTGTGTTGCTAACCTTTTCGATGATTATTTGTGTTAGCTGATTTTGCGTGGAAAACAAAAAAAAGGAAAAAAAATTAAAACATGCCCGGATAAAAAATTTCTCCCATTTTTCAAATGGTCGGAACAATGACACCTAAGACAGTTTTAAAAAGATTTACGGTTTAGTTGGCTAACCATTGATGTGCCAAGATAGTACTTAAGGAGACAAAGTTTTGAGTGGGCACAATACCGGGGGTGCAACCGGGGGATGATCTTCTAAAATTAATTTTTCTTTAAATTTTTTAGTTATTTTTAAATCTCATCAATAATTTCACTTGAAACTACTCAAAAGGTTTTAAACTGCAGTCGGACTAATCTGGGTTTCACCTTGATACGAGCAGTCGTGTTTAACTTGCAATTGAAATTCTACTTTAGAAAATAATTTAAGTTGTCATATCATAACGCACTAAAATTTTGCATGGAGAACTGAAAAATTGTTCAGAACACATTTCTATTTGATCCAATTTGTGAAGAAAAAGAGGAATATATATACCTGGGGTGATCTATGTGCTTAATGTTTTTGAAATAAATGACGGATTATTTGTGCTCGGGGTGTTTTTTCTCCAGACAATTTTCGACTTTTTAATTAACCATTTTTGACGGATGTTTTTTCTATCATCCAAAAAAATATTGTTTTGAGCTCAAAATTGAACAAATACTTTAGCTGGGATCATTTGTTGGCCTTTTCCCGCGCACCTCACATGAGCAGCAATTTTATGATATAATGAGTGGCCTTCCAAGGTTGAGTATGAAGACCAAATATGTTTGTCATGGCCTAATTCTACTGTATGGCAATTTTTATAACAACAGGACATAACAAGATATTTTTTTGTAAAATTTGCAGGTGGGGGATGGGGTAAAATGAGCTATTTTTGTTAATTTATGGAAGTTTAAAGATAGCCGGTTTAGTTTGGCCCATTCGGGACAATTAACGCTCGATACATTTTTCTCTATTGACGCGTGAGTGTAGGTTTGATCCCTCTAAGAAGTCTTTTTAAATTAGACTGATGTATGCAATTCGGATTTTTTGACGTTTGCACTTTATATGTCGTGTGGGGGACTGATTTTTAAAAACTGCAAGAAAATTGTTAATCATTTTTTCATTTCTTTTTTGAAATGTCATCAAATTATTTTTCTAAAGCGAACACTATACTCCAGGCAACCTAAAAGTCAGTCTGCTTTTTCAAGGCTGAGCCAAGATACGAGCAGTTTTTTTTTAATTCAGACCGATTTGACAGCGTATGGCTATCAAACCTTGTCAAGGCTTGGATTGCCAAGCGAGTATGCTTGCATTAGAGTTGGCTTATCGAATAATAGTCTCATAGTTTCAATACCAGAATTAGTTTTGCATGGCAATTTATTGGCGCTCAAATCGAATCGTTCGGAGCTTCAACCTTGATATACGAACAGTCGGCTCTTTTCCACTTTCCCCCCACCTTTCAAAATATCGATTTTATGTTTGATTTACGTGTTATTACGGCTAAATGCGTGACGTTACGCTGTAAAGTATGAAGAACAAATCTGTTCATAATTGTCAATTTGTTCACCATGCCAATTTTCATTGCATTATGACAACGTTAAATAAGGTTTTCAAAAATGAATTTGAAGGGGGGGAAACTGGAAAAGAGCCGAACAGTCTTGTTGTATTTTTTATCAAAAAAACGCATTCTGGCTTAAGAAATTACGCGTGCAATGCAAAAATAAAATTTGGAGTGTAAGCGTACGCAGTAGAAAAGCTAGAAAAGCCTGGTTAAATTAATAAGCATTTAATTGCTGGCTGGTTTTTTTTTTCGTTTTTCAATTAATTAGTTCAAAGTTCACACTGAAAATGGTTTTGCTCTAATCTTAGTTGCCTTCGTCAGTTTTTTTGTTTGTTTTTGGGGCTCTTTTCCAGTCCCCCCCTTTAAAAATACCGAGTTTTATGTTTGTTTTACGCGTTATTACGGCTAAATGCGTGATGTTACGCTCTAAAGTAAGAAGAACAAATCTGTTCAGAGTTGTCGATTTGTTCACCACGTTAAATTTCATTGCATTATGACAACGTTAAATAGACTTTTCAAAATTGAATTTGAAAGGGGGGGACTGAAAAAGAACCGTTTTTGGAATGGCCTAAATTCTTGTCGTGATGGTTTTGTCTGGAAAGTCAGATCCGCTGCTCATTAGCTCTTTGAATTCATCTCCGAACATTGCGACCCACTTTTTACATGCTGCGCTTACTTTTGGTGGAAATTTTAAAACGTTTTCAATTTTTTCTTCACAGGTTGCAAACTCATCATTGCTCCAAAAACACACAAAGAGCCACATTTTGCTGTCTTTATCCACTTGTGTTACAAACAACTCCGCGTCGAGACAATCTGCGAATTGGTCCACCGGACCATTCATTTTTAAAATTCCAACTTGAATCAGATTTTTCCTATTGAGCAGAATAGCTAAAGTCCAGTAGAGGTCAATTCGTTTTCTTATTGATAGTTCAAACATGTCGGTCACAAATGCTCGATAAAAAGGAGGCAGTATCACACCATCAGTTGCTAATTGACCCAAATACTCGAAGAAAAGAAGGTAATTGCGTTCGGGATACTGCACAAGAAAGTTTCCCTGGTTGAAAGTATTTGTGAAGAACAGCGTACCGGAGACGTTAAAACTAAGTTGGACGTTCGTGTTGTTTTCTGTCACTAATATTGCATCTTCCAAAAGAGCATTTTTTTCATCACGGAACGTAAGAGCAAAACGAGGTTTGAAATTCGGTTTGCTGTTGAAACAAGTGCTGTTTGCAAAGTCGTCTTTAACACAAATGAAGTCGTAAGAAAAGCTGACTACACTAGTTTTGTCGTCTTGCATGCTTATTTTCAGGACTGGAATTTCCTCGTCAAATAGCCAGAACCGCATGAAATCAGTTGCGTTTACAGTAGAGTACGGACATTGCGACAGTTCGTCAAGGACGAACTTCGAATTGAAAGAACGGAAAGGATAGTTTTGGAAAATTACCCCGAGGCACACCATCAAATTGTTGCCCATTGCTGCGTCAAGCAGGGCCACTGCTCGCATTGAATTCATGTAGAACTCTTTATTGAACCCCCAAAAACTCATAGTGTCTTTGGCGAGCGCCAAGTCAACGTTTTCGACGACTGAAAATGGCTGCAAATTGTGGGTCAAGTCCACTTTGTTCGACTCTAAAGGAAGTCGGCTAAACTTTATCAATTCACGAGTGATTTCTGACTGCAAAAATGAGGTGAAACCTTCGTTCAACCAAAAGTTTGACCACCAGTCATTAGTCAGTAGACCACCTGTCCATTGATGAATGATTTCATGAATTATAACAGTGAAAAGAGTGGCATAATCTGCAGGCTCAGAGGGAAAATCCGGCCCTAGTGCAGCGCTAATCAAAATCAATCCCGGGTGTTCCATGCCTCCTATAATGGTTTGCATCTCAGTTATCAGGAAGTCGATTTTCTCTGACATTTTCCAGGGGACCTCGAAACGACTTTCGCAATAAGTCAGAGTGAATTTAATTATTTGGTCTAGTTTTTCTTGACTCTCTGGACTTTTGAGCCACCTATCATAATACTTGTCATCTGAAAAAACTCTAATAGGAAACTGGAAATAGGATGATTCCATGACTGTAACGTAATGTGTTGGGTTTAGAACAGCTATTTCTACTAAATAAGCGGGCATAGGAACCGTTTCTTTGAATTGGAAGTACCTAAACTCTTCAGAAGTGTAACTATTTTGCAAATCAGAGTTGAACAAAACCAGTCCTAAATCCCTGAGCGGATCTTGATGGATTTCTATGCTGAAGCTAAATCTGAAACGAAAAAGTGGCTCGTCAAAAGTCGGGAAAACAGTTCTCGCAAAAGCTGGCTCAAAAAACGTCACCAATTCTTTTGCAGAGGCATAACGCGAATAAAATGGCGAATATATGCCCCAAGTTTTGCCATCCTTCTTGATAACAAGTTCATAATCGATTATAACTGTTAGCTTAGAACTTCCAGGGCGAATATCAGTTCGAAATTCTATTTCCAAAATTTCGAACCAGTCAACAAGTCTATAGCTGGTGGGAATTTCGTCACCCTCTTGTGTCATGACTTGAACACTGCTGATGTTCAGCTGGTAGGCGTGTAGAGTTAGTGTTTTCCAGTTATTTTCATCAACATTTGTTACTTCTAGAGAAGTCTCAGCGACTACTTTGCTATCTTCAGCTAAATATTTGAACTTCAAGTTTTGTTTTTCTGGCACATAGTTCTGCGGGAGTCTGTATCCTGTATCGAGTCGATGTAAAGCTTTTACTGGAACCAAAGTTGTCAACACTTTGAGAAGCGCGAATGACAAAAATAATTTTTTCATTTCATTAAGCTTCAAATGTGAGTTTTTTGGGCTTCTAATTTCAAAATTCAGATTTGCTTGGTTTACAAAGAAAACTTTTTTGAAATAATAGTTATCAGCGGCAAAAATCACAAGCCACCTTCCTAATTAAATAAAAAGACAAAAGAAGTCAGAAAGTCAACAATGACGCATGAAAATATTAGAAAAAATCGGCATAATGTGGTGAAAAGAAACCGTGGCTCTTCTACCGTTTCCCCGCCATATATGAGAAGGATCTTTCTATAAATGAGGTTCAAAAAATCGCCCGAAAATTTGGGATAGTTGTTCCAATCACTTGAAAAACAGCGACAAAAAAGTTTTTCTTAGAAAAATTTGTATAAAAAGACGAGGGTTGGGAAATTAGGCGACAAGCAATTTAGACGACTCCAATAAAATGGAATTTAGACGTTTTTTTGCACAACTAGCATGTTGGACTAAAATCAAAGATCTAACAAAACTTATTGCTTGAAATACACTTTCACAAATACAAAAAGAGTTAATGATCCCTTTGCAGATCAAACTTTATTTTAAATGATTTATTAAACGTTAATACAAATATGGATCAAGTTGACATCCTCCCCCCTCCCCCCCCCCCCCCCAAATAGACCAAGTTACGATCCTCCAGCCCAGCGTTGAAATTAAATTAAACTTTCTAAGCGCTGCGAGTATAATGTTCTATTCTTATTGGCGCTGAAAATTCGAACTCGAACCAATTTAACACAATCCCCCTAAACGGCTTTGGGGGGAGGGGGAGATTTTCCACTTGGTCCCCAAATAAAAAAACTTTTTTGAAGTGCACAAGTTATACAATTGCTACATGAGAAAAACTGACTCTCATTTAAAAAAGCTCGAACAAAAATTAGTTGTAGTCAGCGAAAGATAAGTTTGTAGACAGTAAACAAACTTCACGCACAATAGCAAAAAATTGCGTCTAATTTCCCATATTCCTAGTTTTTCACCGACGTTTAAATTCATTTTTTTATGACGTCTAATTTGCGTTTCGTCTATTTTCCAAGGCCCCTAAAAAGACAGCTGACTTAAATTTCGTGGAGAAAACTTCAACTTTTTTGAGAAAGGTCGTCCAACCTCTGAATACTGCACTACCTTTATGAAGCAGTCCAACATCTGAATAAGAAGCTTGTATTAACTGGACGCAAACACAGATAGAAGACAAAAAACGGTTGTTAATGGAAGTTTGTTGCGGTACAACAGAAAACTCTGTAGCATAAAAAGGTACTATATAACAAAACGCGCAAATTTAAAAAATAATAAGAAAAGAGCGCGTATAGAAAACTTCCCGGATGAATAATCATAAATTTCGCCAGCAAACGAGAGTGGAGAATGATGTAAAAACAAGTTAGTGGTGGAGTAGCGAGGTTAGGAAAACACAGACTTCTGCAAAAGTCTCTCGCGACAATATTGGGAGTAATCATGTTTCTAAAACGGAACCCATGAACGACACTGGAACAAAGCGTTTTTTGAAAAATCTGAACAAAATAATCTTAATGATACGGGATGCCGGTGTATCTCTATCTGGATGGTGACGACCCAAAAAATGAAATGGAGCAAACGAAAGTTAACTGTTCACCAGTAGAAGAGGCAATAGGAAACTGAATGCAATATGCAAGGTCGGTTTCAATCACAGCGTAAGGAAAACTGCATGAACTGATATACAGAGTGCTGCAAAGACTGTCATACCTCTGAGTATGAGCATCTAATTCTCGAATCCGAATGGATCGATTAACAATGAACCTCGACCGAAGCGGTGTAAAAACAACTAGTTGATAGACCATGATAATTCCGATTGAACGATAGTTCAGACACAGTTCATGTTCTGTGCCTATCAAGTTCAACCTACCGATCAACTGAGCGAGTTTAACATAAACTATAAATAATACAAATAAACATGTATACACTGAGTTTATCGATCCAGGCCGGATGACATTCCCCCTCAGCAAGAGATTTTTAAACGACTGTATTGAATGTTTGAGTTTTGAGTCCCCGTGGGACTTTTTGGTTTTGAGTTTTTATAGTCGCCGTAGGACTTTTGATCCTTTTGATTTTCTCTTAGCTAGTTTCTGATTGTTTTCCATCTCTGTTGACGTCCTCCCCATTGTTTTCATGTTCGTCGTCTTCCTGCAATTTTTTGTCTTTCTTTTCAATGCCCCCTTCTTTCTGTTCTTTATCTTTTACGAATAAAATATCGTTGTTGTTATCGATTGTTTTTTCTTCTGTTGGTGAAGTTAGATCAACCACGTCTATTTCCTTCGTAATGTTTTTCGGACTAATGGCTTCAATGAATTTCAAACAGGCTTGATATTGTGGCGATTTCTCTGCGAATCCCATTTCTTGTATGAGCGATTTTAAGCTCGGGTAATTTTCCGTTTTTGATGTATCTGGCGGAGAATCAATTACGAAGTGGAATGATTTCTGCTGTCCATCGTTGTTCTTGTCACTTATTGTGTTAATCGGTACGGGGTTTCCGAAGGCAGTTGACAGCGCCGATTGGCGGTTTTTTCATTTAGGAAGGACATTGGGCTACCCGAATCGGCGATAGCGAAAAGTTCTTCTGTATTTGTTTTTAGTTTAACAAGATTGTAGATGATTTCGACCGTATTGGTTTAACAAGACTGTAGATGATTTCGACCGTATTGGTTTCCACATTTGTAACCTTGTTTTTGGGTGTTTACGTTGTTGTTTCGTTGTTGTCCTCTTGGTTCGTTGTTGTACTCGCGTTTTGTGATCCACGTGGATACGGTCGTCCGCGAAAACCACCCCGGCCTCTTTGTGGTTTTTGATTATTTAGATAACTGTATCGGCCACGTGTATTTATGTAGTGTACCAGTTCTTGTTTTGGTTGTTGTAGTTTGTCCTCCGAACGGATTTATTTTCATGGTACGACTGTGTTCAATGCCTTTTTCCGGACGTATTGCATATTCGTATGCATCTTGTGGACTCAATGTTTGTGCTAGTAATTCTTTCGCAATTTTTTTATTACTCATATGCGCTGCTAACATGTCTTTTACCCACTCGTCTTCGCGGTCACCACAATCAGCTCGTGAAGCTAGCTCTATTGAGTCTGCATGGAACTGTTCAAGACTCTCTGATTTCTTTTGTTTTCTCCAAATAAAATGGTATCTTTCGAAGGCTACCATTCTGTTCGTAACAAAATCATCCTCCAGTAACGTCATGAGTTCTTGTGTGGTAACAGTGTGGAGTTCCAGAATGGGTCTTTTCTGTTGACTTTGTCTTTGTCCTTCGGCTCCTAAGCATAAGAAAAGATAGCTGCGTACTTTCGCGTCTGCGTCGTCCCATCTCAATGAATTGCACAGCACTCCTTTCTCCCGAGCCTTTATGACATGGTTTTCCCAACCAACTCCTTTCTCCTGATTCCGAACCTCCCGGTTTTTCTTTCTTCTGTGCCTCTGTTTCACCTGTTATTTCAATTTCGTACACCGGTTCTGAAGGTTCAACGAATGGTGGTCTGGCTCTTAGTAAAATTCCTACCTCAATTCCGTCCTTTGCGAATACTGCCATCTCCAGTATTGCTGCCCACTTTGACTACTCTAATGGCGGTACGACAGATCCCTTCTCCCAAAATGGGTTATTATTTAATGGGTTTTTGGAATATCTTGTTGACTGCGGAGAATTTATCTGTAGAATTTTTTCATTTTTTGCTTAATTTCATTTTTTGGTATTTTGAAATGAATATTTATCTGTACATATCTATATTGAAGTCAAAACTTAATCGTAGGAAATTGTCTACTGAAAAAAAATACGATTTGAGAATGGACTTCCTGTCACCCCTCGAATTGCGCTCACGTCTTCTTTATTTGGAAAGCACCTGCAGGTGCTGCAGCCAAACCACTTCCTGAGACCTTGTAGCTCAAAGCATATCTGTCCCCTCTCTCATATGATTTGGTAAACCTCCTCCGGCGTCTTAGTAGATCTACATAACTCCATTTGCAATCTTTGTTTGACAACCTCATGATGAAGACGACGGGTATGATACTTCGCTCCAGTATTCCAGATTGCCTCCCGCTCAAATCCTAGTGAAATCATTCCCTCGTCTCCCCCTCCACTTGTTTTTTTGACAATATTTGATAGATTTTAAACGTTTCCTTCCGTTCCTTTTATACACCTTCTCGATGGCATCCAAATCCCAGATGTACCTAGTGCTTGACAGATCCAAATGGGACATTCGGTTGTGCATTTCGTTCTGATCCCCCAAACAGAGGTACAGGTTTTAAAGAATCGTTTGTTCTGCTTCTAGCAATTTTTCCCAGCGCGTCCGCGCGTAACGAGTTTTTCAAAGCTCCCAAAGTATCGCTGCCTTTGTGCACTTGCTTGGACAAAATTACTTGATTCCCAGCGTTGTTTTTCGCTTTCCGCATCGTCCCGCATTGGCTGCGCCGTGACAAAAACGCCGTATTAATTTCTTAAAATAGTCGTTTAACCGTAAGTCAATTACATAAAAAAAACAATGTTTCAGCACTTCACTTCGCTTCATTAGGTAGCAATGTAGCATGTAGCAATCAAATGACACCGAAGTGACAGAGTGAGTGCACTGCAAGAGCGACAGAAAAAACTTAAACTTGAAACTAACAGATATTAAATGTACAAACATTGCCTTTATGAAAAAAAAGATTTAGTGTGTCTCTGTAAACTTTATGAACTAAATAAGGGCAGTTAGCTTTTGACTTCATATGATTCACTGGGATTTAGTACATTTTACAGTTAAATTCGTTTTCTCATTTACAAAATAGTGCAGCCAGCAGAAAAAAAGGTGCAGGGAAGAATAGTTTGAAAAAGTTATATTTTGGGACACTAGAACGCCGGAAACCCATCTTATTGGGAGGAGTGGAGATGAAATTTCTATGGGGAATGATAAAAAAACTGACATTGAACTGACCAATTTTAAATAAGCGGACACGTTTACAGCAGTTCAAAGTGAAACATAAGAGGCGGACGTTAAGGAGGACAAACACGCCAGAAAATCTTTCAAGTGGCTCTTTCTCATGACCGGGATGATTGTGCTGATTAATCTTATACCGGAAAACCAGCATCGTCGGCACCAGTTATCATCATAAAGCAGGAACCAGTGGAAAATATACTACAGGGAGCAGGCTATAATTGGAACAGAGGTAGAAGCGGACGCGCAAATGAACCGGGGGACGAATACAAGGAAATGTTATTAAACGGACGCCACCATAATTTCAATTATTTCAGCACACGCCCTGCAAGAAACGCATCGTTTCGTGCTAACAAAAATTTGGCCAACTTAACGGACAACCCGGTAAATATGCAGAAACAACAACCAATCAATGTGACGAGAAAGAGTTATTATGGTGTATGAAGAGCAAGAACATCATCAAATCATGCAAAACATGGCGAGAAGTAATCAAGAATTACCTGTAGGATGGCTAAATAAAAAATGTCAATCAGAAAGTAATTACTCCTCCGCGTCTAGCAAAAACATTCCCGGGTTGACCTCCAAAGACCGAAAATGCTAATCATACAATTTCATACACTTAGTCTATGGAAAAATGCTAGTCATACAATATTCATACATTTTGCAAAATGAATTTAATCAAATTTCAAAAGGATTTTATAGTTGTTTTGGTATCGAAATTGGTATCTCTTCATTAAAAAAGGGGAAAAAATGGTATGAAAAAAAATGCTAACCATACAATTTCCATATATGGAAATTGTATGATTAGAATTTTTTTTAAAACATTTTTTTGTGAAAAAAAAGCTTTGAACAATCAATTCAACTGCTGGCAAAACATTTAAGCGTTTTTTGGGCTGCTACGACAGAAAACTATGACTTTTTTTTTGTTTTCTGAAAAAAAAACACTAGTCATACAATTTCCATATATGGAAATTGTATGACTAGCATTTTTTTGATGGCGACGACAAAAATTTTTCTAAGTATTTTTGAAATTGCCCCCAAAAATTTTTTGAGTTTTTTTCCAACCGCATATTGATTTTCGTATTCACACAAACATTTTTTGAAAAAAAAAATTTTGCATGCAAAATTTAATTTTTTGAGTGTATAACGTAGTCCTGGATATACTAATATTGGATTTTTTTCCTTTTCTCTTCATAACTTTTTTCAAAAACGCTTAAAACTCCTCTTTCTTTTGTATGACATGTTTTCGTATGCTTTGATCAATGTCTGGTAAATTAAAAATTCAAATTTTAGAAATACTCATCTTTGAAAATTATTGCCAAAATTTAAAAGTTCATTACTTTCGTTATATTATTTGTCTGAGACAGAAGTAACACATATCAGGCTGTTTCCAATGCATTTTTAATGCGAGACGGCCAAACCGTTGGTTACTACGTTTGGGTAATCAAGGTTTATGTCATTTGTGTTCCGTTACGAACACAACCAAAAAGTTTTGAGAAATTGAAATGTAAAAAATCAATATTTTTGGTTTATGGAAAAATGCTAGTCATACAATTTTCATATATGAAAAAAATACTAATCATAGACCTTTCATGCAATTTTCTGTACGTAAGGAATTGTATGGAAAGTGTATGATTAGCATTTTTCCATATATGGAAATTGTATGACTAGTATTTTTGGTCACCCCGGGAAGAAGCTTTTGTTGCGTACGGGTGGCGAATAATTAAATTGGAATGTAGGTGATATAACCTTCCCCTTAAAGCATTTTTGCTTGTCAATAAATTGTATTTCTCCCCCTAATTTGATAGAACGGTCAATCCAAACTGTTCCTGTTTTTGTCAGAGCCGCTTGCGTCTTGCCCGGGTCGAGGTCCTCGACCTTTGTTTCGACTTTTAAAGTCAATCACGCGCAGTTTTGCGATGACTGAAAATCTGCGGCCGAAAAACACACCCGATTTCGGTCGAGAAAGTCAAAACATAGGTCGAGCACAATCGAAGCATACCCAATGTCGGTCGAGAAAGCCGTAACATAGGCGAGCACAGTCGATACATAGGTCGAGCATGGTCAAAATAAAAGTCGAGCACAGTCGAAACTTACCCGATATTGGCCGAGAAAGTCGAAACATAGGTCGAGACAGTCGAACTATAGGTCGAGCACAATCGATACATAACTGGTGACCCGCTGTTTACCACCGACAGCCACAAGCTTTTATCACATGTGTTCGCCTAAACCCGGGTACTTGGAACCCTCATTTTAAAGACTTTTCGCTTGCTTCTTATAGACATAACAATGTGGATAAAAATTTCATATAGATAGTATAAGCTGACTTTCTGTGTTTTCTGTATAGATTTATTTATTACCTTCATTTATTATTAGAAATATATAATTTCCAGAAAAAATTACCTAAAATCTGTTCACTGCACAGCCGCAACAAGATAAACGTTTAATCTACATAATTTGACTATACACTAAAGTCGTAGCGATACAATGCAAACTAAAACTTGTTATGACAAGTGTTAATTTGACTTTGATTGCTACAATTATAACATTTTATCAGGACTTCTGAAATAGCGGGTAAGGCAAACGTAGGTAGATCGGGTGTTCTAGCCCAATCACGAAATTTTAACAAAATCCCTGCTTTACTTGAAAATATTTCAAAAAGACTTTCTTGCCAGATAATTAGAGTAGTGTTTGACCAGAAATCAAGAACTTGTTCAAAACGGAGATACATAATTTGAACGTCGAATTAACTGGTTTCGTGGTCCATGAAAAAACAAAGGCTCTTTTTCAGTTCCTTCCCCTTTTAATTAGTAATTGTAAGGATAGCTTTTGAGAAATTTATAAAAAAACTAAAAATGTAGGTAAAATATTCTCCCACAGACTTTTTCGAAGGCTGTAGAAAAAGGGGAAGCAAACCGAGATAAAGAGGGTATGCAGACACACGCGGATAAACAGTCTTCTATTGATATCCCTTTTTTTATTGAAAATCCGTTTCAATAACTTGGGAAAAATTTCAAAAAAATATAATAAAAACCATCTCATATTATTAAATAAGATTTTTGGGCAAATATGCCAAGCAAGATGTTTGATTTTTAAATTGAGCAAGCATCATTCGAGCCGGAAAGCAAATTGTTTTCAAAATTTTTAAGTTCCCCCTGATACTGCAAGGCACTAACGTGAAAAATCATTAAAAAAATTGTAAGTGGCAATTAAACCGACATAACGTGAGCAAATAAACAAAAATCCGATAATAAACCTTAAGCGGAAAAAATTTCATTTGCATACGAACAAAAAAAACGAGGTTCGGCCGGGATTTGAATCCCGAACGTAGGGGTGCAAAAGGTGACTCTACTGCAACGACTCTCGGCCAAGTTTGAAGGACTTTGCTTCTAATTTGAATCTTTTTAACGCAATCAGGGTCGGCGCTACGATTTTCTCAAGGGGTGGATTTGCACATAACTGTTTTAGTCCAGCAAATTGGTTTTTTGAGCTCTCGCAAACAGTGTAACGACCCCGTTTTTGAAGCCATTTTTGTGGCACCGGCAAGTGTATGCTAAAAACAAGACGTTTTTCAGGCACTTTTTGGAGGTTTTGACCAAAAAAAGCATTTTTTGGCGCGCGCTCCACCTTCCTCCAAAACAGTCCATAGTGCGCTAAAGGCGCTTGTAGAAAAATTATGACTGTGTCGGCCAAAAACGGATGTCTTAAGACAGTACCCGAAAGAGAGTTTTTGGTTGGTCAGGGGCTGAAAACCCGCTGCTGAATGTAATTGAAAGTTATTATGATTTGTTAGAATAATTTGGTAATATACCAGCTACGATTTGGCAATTTTTCCGCTTTTATTTATTTATTGCTCAAAAATATTATACGGCTCAAACGGTTTCATTTGGTTATTGTCAGCTTAGTCGCCTTTCATTGCAAAATTTTTTATGACAAAACTTTTGTAATCAATACAACGCGCCACAGCTGAAATATTTATTTAGAGCCTCTTTAGTAAATTTTACGCGAATACAGATAAAAAATGGCAATTGAGCTCCAGCTTATTTTTTCCTCAAATTACGGCGTTCAGTTAGCATAGTTAGTGTTGAGGCGTTCACTTTCAGAATTTCAGACCGAGTGTTAGATCTCCTGATATCACAATGATAGTGTGTGAGGACGAGCTTTCACTGGACCTCTAGCTTCAGCTCTAGCGAACTGAGTTTCGATTCCAGTAATTCACTACGTGATTATGTTCTAGACGCAAAGAAAAGAGCTTCGTTCAACAAAAAAGGCGTCTGGAATCTGGGAATTAATACATAAAGACTATCCTTAGACAAGCCTGTTAAGGCCTTCTGATAGCTCCTCTGCGATTCGCAGGAACCACAATTAAATTGAATTTCATTTCAGACAAACAAAGAAATTTAGATGAATGTAGTTTTTTTGAAATTTTTTTACGATTTTTTTTTATTTTGTTGCTTTCGTCTCATTTTCTGTCGACTAATTTGCCATGCTTTTTTTGTAATATGTCGCAAATGATGCGAAGCTGTGCTTCGCCTCTGAGAAAGACAATTGCGATTACACGGTGTCGGTAATTCTTATTTATAATTAATTCCCATTCATTATTGATGCTAACATTTGAGGACATTTTAATGTAAATTGCAATGATTGGCATATGAAATGATATAAGTTGCAACGCGTCCGACTCAAACGTCAGTAGAGAAAGACTTTGAATTGACCATTGAGCTGTTTGGGTCTCTTTTCACCCAAATAGGCTGCTGTTCTCCAGTTGCGGCTGATGGCTTCTCAGAAAATCCATTCATGGTACTACTTTCTTTTTCCGAAAACTTCGCGCTACTAGAATCTGCACAGTTGTCTTCTGATTTGTTTTTAGCAACTATTATGTGCTCCATGGTGACGTACTCTCTGTATCTAAACAAAAGAATGAACAAAATTTATAGATTTTGAAAAAGAATTTGTGATGCAAATTCTTTTTGAAAAATTCATCACCTGTTGAAAAATTTTGAAAAATTCATCACCTGTTGAAAAATTTTGAAAAATTCATCACCTGTTGAAAAATTTTGAAAAATTCATCACCTGTTGAAAAATTTTGAAAAATTCATCACCTGTTGAAAAATTTTGAAAAATTCATCACCTGTTGAAAAATTTTGAAAAATTCATCACCTGTTGAAAAATTTTGAAAAATTCATCACCTGTTGAAAAATTTTGAAAAATTCATCACCTCTATCCCCCACGCCGAAATAATTGTCTCAAAAATACCTCAACAACTCTGCTCTCATCTCAACATTCCTATAACTTTTATTTACAGTTAAGAAGAAAGTTGTAATGCGTTGTATATAAAAAGTTATTTCCTAACTGTTTCTGTCGAGTGGGCGAGACTATGCAGTATCCCTGTCTGCCTATTTTTACGTAGTTGGCGTAGATACACCTGTCCACTGCACTGGGTTCCCGCAACACCACCTTGGACCCCTCTTTGCTGCTACCACTACTACTATATGGTAGTTGTACTCTGCTGCTGCTAGTCCCACAACTGGATGATCTAATCTGAGGTTCTTCCTGTTGTTGTTGATGAAGATGTCTAGAGCCGTGTTTTTTCTCCGGCAGACTGCACATTCCATGGGAACATTAGTGCACAGGTCGAATTTGAACACACTGAACAAACAGATCTGCCCAAAGTTGTTAATTGATAACAAGGTAAAATCACCCAGTACTACCCAAAACAGGATTATATTCAAAAAAGACACTTCTTCCTGTTATCGTGTTTTTCAATATTTTAATTTTTGGCAGAAGAGTAATTTGCTATCTCGAAAAAAAAACGAAAAAATTTTTTGTTGCATTTGTTGAAAATAATCATTTCAAAATATTTGTTTACACAAAGGTGAAACAGAGCTTCACATCACTTGGGATGAAAAAATATGTGCCAGAAAAAATTAGTGGCAGCGCAAAAATTTTTACTGTAAAAATCAACGACTCGTTTCACCTTTTTCACAAAAATTGTTATTAAGAAAATCGGTACAATTTAGTCATTCTACAACCCTAATGATTCATAAATGTTCTTTTGACAAACTCAAAAAGGCGAAAGAAACATTTTAGAAAAAAGAAAATTGGAACACTTTTTACACGAATAACCGCACATGCTTAACTTTACAAATTTTTGTCATCAGAAAGAATCAAAATATCATTTGCTCTAAGAGACGGTGCTATTTGTTGCTTTCTTTCCAATAAAAAGATATAAGAAAAACTCAATGACAGAAAAAAAATCAAAAAGCTTCCAAGAAATAAAAACAAAAAATGAAAAAACAAATTCAACACAGCAAGCTAGCACACAAAAAAAATTACTACAAAAAGTTCAAAAATCAAAAAGCTACAAAAATTCGAATTGTTTGTTTCAATCGATGTTCGATTTGAAGGAAACACGTTCTGCAAAACAACTGCCAGTGTTCAATCAGAATTAAAATCATTTATCGAGCGGCAACGAGGCCAAAAAACGGGTGGACGACGTTTACCAAAAAAAAGTTGATACCATTAAATAATAAATATTTTTAATTCAAACGACGCGCGCGAAACTAGATCGTTAAATGGATATGATAATGACTTAAACTATTTACATCACAAAAAACAGTGATGTGGCAACTGAGATGACAAAACAAATAGACAATTAGGCTAACATTTTTTGAAAGGGGTTCAGTTTTCAGTTTAAAAAAGGCCCCGGATGGATTCTAATCTAGGATCTTTGCAGTCCCAAATGGGGTCGTTATCTCTAGACAAAGCGAGCAGGAGAAGCTAATGAATTCAAATTTGTCGTAAAACTACTATATAAAATCATAGAAATGAGTTTGTTCACATCTCCTTAGCTGAAAAAGTTCTGCTTTCCCATAAAATAACGCTTGCAAGTCGCAAGCGTAAACATATCAAAAAAATAGCAAAACTTCTTGCCATGCAATTACTTGAACGTAAGAGGAGCACACTGAAAATATTTTCAATTGTAATTTTAAAAAATCTGGAATTTTTGTAGTGGAACTTTTCTGCTACAAAAGACAATGGACTTTCGTCCTCATATTCTACCCCAGACTGACGGAAACTTCTCGCATACAAATAACATACAAAGAAAATTTTTCTCATAATTCCAAATAACTCTATAAATACAAAAAATTATATAATCTCTTACATCAACCTAGACACAAATGGGTTATCATTTCCACATTTCGATGAAACTTGGCATGATGAACAAATTCAACAAACTTGCCTTTTAACATTTTGAAAAAAAGATCAAAAGATTTTTTGCACCATCTCCGCGAAGGTAGTTAATGCCATTACACTTAACTCCAGTTCGACACAAAAGTGTCAAAAACAGCTGTTAAAGTTTGATACAATCCTCTCGCAACAATTTTACCGTAGTTTATCTCAATGTGATCCTTATTTCAAAACCATTGCTCTCAAATAAAAAATGTCATCTAAAGCTGCAGTTTCGTTGAAATCCATTGAAAATATTAATGGGACTATACTACAACTTCCCAAAACCAAACCTATACCACTAGTTTCGAGAAAAAGAGACTGCCATAACAAATCCATCGGAAACCAATCTAAATTTTTCGCTGAGGATTGGGCAAACAACTAATGAAAACTGATAAATTTTAAATTTCATGAAATCTCTTTTCTCCTATCCGCTAGATTAGATTTTCACAACCACAAGATCTCATTTGCAAGATTTTTAGCGACGGGCCAAGATTTTTGAATAGATTTTTTCCAGAAGTTTGTTGGAACATTGGTGGTCGGTTTATACAAATAAAAGCTTTTTCATTTGTGAATGCGTTAAAATGCAGAGAGAAAAATGGAGGCCATCTATAGAAAAAAATTTCAGATACACAAGTGCATATCATGACAAGAGCCATGGAACTAAAGCGCAGATAGGCATAGTCATGCTTCAAGTTTTTGGCATACTTCAGTCACACATGCTTCAGTCTTTTACTCCAAAGCTGCAGTTACAAAACGAGCTTAGTTTTAAAGAATCATGAAAATGATTAATTGACACGAGGCAAACGACACTTCATTTAAAACTATCGTACATTTACTATATATTTATTACATGCAGCTCATCTCTATTCGTTCAACTAGAAGTTGAATCTGCTTAGTCAGAACAAGCTCAGAAAAAACTAAAAGAAACAAAAGTCTTCGCATTATCGCATACTATGGCAGCAACTGACTGCTTAATATTCGTTCTCGGCAGTCATAATTGGCAGCAGGAGTCTTACTTCAGCACCGGGTCAGCCATGGTTCACGAATTGCAGCACAAAGCCCTCAACGATATGCCAGGGGTCCACTGCTATTCTTTGTGGCCATCGAACGTTCTTAAAACTCCCGAAGACCGAGACGATTACCGAGTGATTGAAACAGATCACGAAGTGCCAATTTGTGAAGGTGTGCACCCTCAAAGCTCCCTCAGATTTCACTCTTTGAGTACAGACCAATTTTCGAAGTACATGGAACTCTTGGTCACTAAATGCTTGGACTTCATTAACTATATAGAGCAGAAACACGGGAAAACTCTCGACTTTTTGATGGCCCATCACGTGTTCAACAACCCAGCGGTTCTAGCTGCAGTCAACCAACAAAGAGTTTGGGATGGCATGAAAAAAATCCCAGTTTTTGCTTTTTCACACGGAACAGGAATGATGATGTATTTGAACGAGTTAGACAACCACCCCGAATTCCCGCTTCGATTTTATCCTTGGGTTCGAAAAGCGGTCTGTTTGTTCGAAGACGAAACCGAAATCCAGGGAGTTTTTACTCTAACAGAACTTCAAAGAAGCAGGTTCTGCAATCTCTTTCCAAATTTCCCCCAGACGCGAGTTAAATTAGCAACACTGGGCTACCAACAGACGATTTTCAGAAAATTGGCGGTCCCAGAAAACCGGAACGAATGGAGTTTGAAATGGAAGCAGGTTTTGTATGAGGAAATTGACGAATCAGTGTTGCCCCTTAATATAGGAAATAACAAACCGCTGCCTGATCTGCACTCTTTTGAACATATAGTCGTGTTCTGTTCAAAATTGGACAAAGTAAAACGCTTAGAACTTCTACTGACAGCTTCGAAAAATTGGGAAGCTGACAAAAAGTCTATTTTAACTTTAATCGCTGGTAGTGCTTCCAAAGAAAACATTAAAACATACGTAGATATGGCTTACTATGATCTAAGACTTAAAAATACTTATTTCATTGGTGCTTTAATGCAGAGCGAACTAACGAAGCTGTTCAACCTGGCGGATATTGTTGTGCTTCCGAGCAAAATGGAGGCATTTCCCATGGTTCTCGTAGAAGCGCTGGCGTGCGGTACCCCTGTAGTTGGTATTGATACTTGGGCTTGTTCCAGCTTCACAGCTGAAAATGTTGGGATTTTAATTAAAGAAAACGAAGATCAAAACCAAATGGCGAGAGATATCAATGATAATGTTACGAAAGCGTTGAGCGAAAATTGGAAGAAGACTAAAAGCGAGCATTGTGCCAACTTAGCTCTAAAGAACTTCTCTAATCCACGTAGAGTGAAGCAGCTTCTGGACTGCGTGAAAGAAGTGATCGGAGACTGAAACCATTGGCCACAAAAAAACAATAGAATGCCCAAGATTCAATGTACAGTTTTGTAATTAATGAAAATAACATAAGTAAATTTTGATTCATTGTAAAAAAAAACATTCAGTAATGAACCGATAGAACGTTTCAGTAATTTTTTTAAAACTATACTCTGAGATTTCATTTAATCTATTCATTATTGAAGATAGCCGGTATATATGTGTAAAAGCATATAGAGTGCTCTACAAGTCGTTGCAACATTTGGCATGATCCAATTGAATTCAATTAAGTCAGAATTGTTCCATCCGTCCGCAGGAGGAAATAATTAATCTTCATTTGTAAGCAGCCTAGATTTTTTAATATTGTCTTGTGATCTAACCAGTATACTAATTCAATTTCTGTAAACTTTTATCGTTGTCTCTTTTCTGATAAGCTGACCACTTTTCAGTACACCATACAAATTCACAGCTATAAGAACATATGTTACAATCCTGCATACAGGTTTTTTCAATTACGGGTTCGCAAAAATTTCTCATAGTGAGTTGCTACTGGTTCAAACGGACAGAGATAGCTAACTGGAAGTTTTCAGATGACCGCTTTTAACTTAAAAACTGTTACACCTAATTGCCTCTGATTTCAAAACTGAAAAGGGAGTTCAACTCTTGTGTCTTACCCGTACTGAACAAATTCTTTAATTCTGACGAGAAATACTTAAATTCTAATCTACATATTTGGCCAGAAATTCGTTTTAAAATGTTTAAATAAATCAGGGATTTTCTTAAGACTTTTTGTTTCTCATCTTTTTTCTGATCGGAAATAAACTAAATCTAGGCTATTTCTGGCTAGAAAAAAAATCTGGTATGATTCCAACCCTCAACATACCAATTGCTAGCCGCATTCGTTAGCCTCAATGCAATATGATCTGATACATACAAACAGTTATCGCTATCTAATACGAAGTAACGCTTGTTATATAGAGAGTTGCAAAAAGTTCGGACAGACAGAATTAATTAAAAAGAGCAACTGTCTAGACATCAAAGGAAATTAAAACTGAAATAAACATAACGCCGAAAGTTCATAGAGCAGAGTTACGAGATCTACTTAACAATCCCCCTTTTAAGAAAGGGGAGTAGATTGTTAATCAGATTACTTGCATCGAACTTTGGGGGGGGGGGGGTCGTTAAGTAGATCCGAGTTTCGCTCAAAACCTATAACCACGGCGGGCAATTGCATCCGAAGCGTCGAAATGTTTTATAGTAAAATCTGGATTTCGGTATTTAAAAAATAGGCTAGCATAATCATCGGATAATCTACGATCTTGCATTTTGAATTTGGTCTCACAAAAAATTCAAGGTTGGTCGGCTTCAGATTTTGCATGCAAAGAAGCTTCGAAAAGCACTGATTGCTCATTTTAATTAATTCTGTTTGTCCGAACTTTTTGCTACTAATTATAACAAGTGTTAACTTGCATTGCGTTGCTTCGGGTATACAGTGCTAATTTAAATTATCCGGACAAAACGAACAAAACTTGAATTTTCAAACACGTTTTTCTCAAATTGGGTTAAAATTAGACAAAAAGTGAGCAGTACAAAAATTGCTTAGAATTTCATCAGAATTAAAATGGTGAAGTTTTTTATCCGAAATTCTCAACCAAAATTTTACCCCAAAATGGGTCATTTTGGCTTTTTTTTTATTTAATCAAGAATTACGCTGAAACTACTCTATTAACTGATGAGAAAATTATATCATAAGAAGCCTCTTACGCAGCCCAACAAAGTTTAGGAATGGTTAAATCTCCAAAAATTTGCACAAAATGTGTAAGATTTATTTTTAAACAGAGATTCTGGGTTTTATATAGTGAAAATCACATCTATTGACTATGAATTGAACGTTTTTTCTCTTATACTAACTTTTGGAGATTTAACCCTTCTTAAACTTTGTTGGGCTACGTAAGAGGCTTTGTTGTGATATCATTTCCTTACCAATTGACAAAGTAGCTTCAGCGTAATTCATGATTAATTGAAAAAGCCAAAATGACCCATTTTTGGGGTAAAATTTTGGTTGAGAATTTCGGAGACCATATTAATTCTGGTGAAATTTTAAGCAAATTTTGTTCTGTTCACTTGTTGTCTTATCTTAACCCAATTTGAGAAAAACGCGTTTGAAAATTCAAGTTTTGTTCATTTTGTCCGGATAACTTAAATCAGCACTGTAGTTTTTAACAAATTTATCGGACGTCTTAAATTTTTGAAATAATTTTGACCTTGAGACAGTGAAATGGCGTTAAAACTGCAATTGGTTTTTCAAAACTGCATTTGAACTGACAAAAAAGCACTGCAAAATGATTGCGCTTTTTTGGAGAATTTCATTTTTTCCTTATTTCAAGAATCTAATTGAAAAAATTTCGTCATTCAACAACAATTTGTCATGCACTTTTTGTGAATAAAACACATATAAAACGCCGACGAAAAGGCAAACGCGAAATTTCAAAGAATGAGTTCAATTTAGTTCAAATTTGAAGGACAGAATTATTTCACAAATTTAATACGTTGTCAGATAAACTTGTTAAAAGTTATTTTGTGTATACTCGGAGCATCTTTATCTCGCTGCGGTTGAGCAGTGAACTGATTTCCGTTTATTCTTACTTAAAAAAGTAAATTTCTAATGTTAGATGAGAATTAAATAGTTTCTGTACAGAAAACACAGAAAATTGTTAGATTTTCTATATAGAATTTCTTTCCAGATTAGAAGTTTTTGTTGGGTGCGTGCAGTGTCGAGAAAAAACGGTTTGAACTTTTTTCGTTTTAGTCTAACTTCGATTGAGTAACATCGTTTTATGAGAATTGGTCAGTTAAGCAAAAGAAACGTGATTTTACCAAGCAAAAGTAAGTTTTAGGAAGCTTCAGTTAGCGCTTATTTGGCAGTAACAGGTTTCAAAAAATAAACAAACATTCTGCGCAAGAAACAATTGAAAAAATTTTAGATATTCTGTTTACAAAACTTTTCATTTTTTCGTTTGTTTCTTATTTTAAAGACAACTTGTCGATTATGCCTCATTTTTGAACTTAACGCGTTAGTATTTTTCCTATATCGCACCACGCACAAAATACCACAGTAATTTCAAGAAGAAGATAACCTTTTTTGATTTTTTTTTATGAATGTGGTCAGAATATTCTGAGCTACCTGCAACATTTGATTCAATCCATTTTCGGGTGACTGACCCAAAATAAAATTTCCAAAAGAGCAGTTGACGCCAATATAGGCCTATTACGATCAACTTTTCAAAAATTTAAGTCGAAATAAAAACACAAAATAGCCCGCAAAATTTTCGAAAAACCACCATTCGAGAAAATTCTAGATTCGTCCCTGGTTTCCTTTTGAAGCTATTTTACGCCATTTACTTTAGTTAGCCAGCAAAAACATTTTTATTTCATTACATTCCGAAAAAATCCTAAATTGCAACAAATGTACGACCGCGTTGCCCTAAAATTACAAGCTGATTCTTTATACGGTCTATACAGTCATTATTAAACTGTGAGTCTAAAAATCTTCGCTAATCAATTTGCAGGTAATCATTGATATCATTTTGCGGAGTGTTTGCAAAGGTACTTGATAGCACAAGAAATTGGTGAGAAGCTGGTTTAATCTTATTTGAACATTCCTGGCACTCATTGCAACTTGATGACTCTCAATTTAATTCTATTGCATATTTCATGCCCTTTTAGCAATAATTAATTCTAATTTTTGTACTTATTTTGCCTAACTCAATCAAATAAAAATTATTAGGAAATATTAGAAAAATAACTTATCCAATCAAGAGTTCATCCGAGTATATCTTAAGAAAAAAAGTTTTACTTAACTCTCAACAACTCCTAATACCAAGTGACTTCTTTTTTTAATTTTTCAAATCAATTTTTACGATCGCATTACTCTGAAATGAAAAGTAGTTTCTACGGTCAAAATCTCCGTCAGTCAAAAGGCAGGTATTCATTGATATCATTTTGCGGAGTAATGCTAAAGGTTAAAAACCTGATAGCACCAGAAGGTGGGAAAAAACTGGCTTAATCGTAGTTTAATTTGTTTTATATGGCAGTTTTTAAAAAGCCCTGCTCGATCATTCCAAAATCTAGTTGTAACATCCAGACCCAGAGCATGAACTTCTAAGTAAAAAAACACGACTTTTAAAATAATTAAATCTTGTTTTAGGGACGAGCGTCGATTATTGTTCCGGTCACTTCATTAAGTGGGAAGGATGCATATAATGTTCTGACTACAGAAGTTTCCGAAGTATAGCGTAGGTTTCATCTTTTCCAAAGCAGTTTGACTACCGCAAACAAAGAACGTAAAGGTTCAAATATGGTATCGTATTAAAGTCTTATATTTTATTGGTCGTGATTTGGATTCAAAACAACACATCAAAACAAAAAAAGTTGTCTGTGTTAAAAAAAAATAGGTCTGTTTTTTTTTTAATTTCAGACCAGATTTACAATATGTGTGACACTCATCGCAACTTGATGACTCTCAGTTCATGTCTATTGCATTTTACTCTATTTTAGCAATAATTAACTCTCGTTTTTTCACTTAATCTAATTGAGCGCAAAATATCAGGAAAATAAGACAAGTACACTTGCCCTCACAGGTGATTAAAATTGAAAACAATTTTAATAAAGAAACACTTTTTTTTTTGGTTTGAAAGATTTATAGATGTGTTAAATTTAATTAATTGAGCCATTATAATCGGAACATTCAGTTCTACTTGTACAACAACTGGTTACCCTACTTATTTATAGGGGTGGCAGTTCTATAGTAGATATTATAGGAAGATTGTTAAGTAGATCTGAGCTCAGTTCAGCTCACAGGTATAAACAGTGGAAATTTGATGGACATTTTATTAAAGACCATGCTTTGGAAGTAAGCCAACAAATAAAAAGAATGCACAGCACAAGTTCAACTAATCAAGTTTTCCCAGAAAAAATCCACGGTGAAAATTTGGTGCATTTTTTAAGCATAATCCATGATTTAGAAGGTAAGCCGACAAAAAAGGTTGCAAAAGAATAGACCAACTATTCAAGTTTTCCCAGAAAAAAATCCAAAACCCTAAGCTACCGAGGCACGTGAAGGATAAGAAAATTGCTGAGGAAGTCAATTACTTAGATTTATTACGGGAAAAGACAAATTGCCGATTACAAATCACTTGCTTTTGCATGTGAAAAAAAAACGGACGATAGAAAATATTTGTTGAAAAACAAAATGTATTGTTATGTGTGGCCAGTCTTCCACTGAGCAAATAAAACTTGGGCGCTCTATGCCGAAGCAAAAAATCGATAGAGCAGTGAAATGTGGTGCTTCAAGAAGATGGAACGAATCTCGTTTACAGGCCACTTAGCTAAAGAGTTCGTATTGAATTTGGAAAACGCGAACGCTGCAAAATAAAACAGCTGAAAAACATTACCAGGAAGTGTTTTTAGCTCCAAAAAAAAGAGAAGTACAGACACGCTGAAAAAAGGCGTTTTTTGGATAAAAAATTTAACAGGAAGACAATTTCTGTTGGTTTCAGGTCACATTAACGTCATGAGAAAGACAGGCCGTCAAGGAAAAAGCTTTTTGAATGAACATCTTAACCGGAAACTAATTCCGGTTGGTTTCCGGTTATATCAACGGCAAGAAGAGGCTAATTGAATCAACACTATAACAGGAAGGTTATTCCGGTTTAATTCCATCTATATATACGGCAAACGAAGTAAATGCTCACCGAGAAAGAAGGTAGTTCCGGAAGGTAGTTCCGGTTTGTTTCCGGTTAAATCAACGGCAAGAGAAGTAAAGGCAGGCGTCAAGGAGGATGTTATTTGGATAGAAACCTTAACAAAAAGCTAAATCCGGTTTGTTTTTGGTTATATCAATGGCAAAAAAATTAAAGCCGCAAGAAAAAAAGCTATTTGGATGGACGTCTATATGAACGGCAAGAGAAGAGGAGTCAGGCCGATAAGGAAGAAACAATTTGAATGGACACCTTGTCAAGAAGCTAATTTTGCTTGGTTTCCGGTAATATCAAAGACAAGAAAATTAAAAGCCGAAACAAAAAAAGCTGTTTGGATGGAAACCTTAACAGAAAACAAAACCATTTTTTTACTTCCGGCTATATCAACGGCAAAAGAAGAAAACTCAGCCATAAGAAAGAAACCATTTGGATAAACATCTTGACAGGAAGTTAATTCCGTTTGGTTTCCGGTTATATTAACGACAAGAAAAGTAAAAACCGAAAGGAAAAAAGCTGCTTGGATGGAAACCTTAACCGAAAACAAAACCCTTTTTTGTTTCCGGCTATATCAATGGCAAAAGAAGAAAATTCAGCCATAAGAAAGAAACCATTTGGATAAACATTTTGACAGGAAGTTAATTCCGTTTGGTTTCCGGTTATATCAACGACTAGTAAAAGCCGAAAGAAAAAAGCCGTTTTGATGGAAACCTTAGCAGGAAATAAAATCCTGTTTTGTTTTCCGGCTATATCAACGGCAAAAGAAGAAAAGTCAGCCGATAAGGAAGAAACTATTTGGATGGACAGCTTGACCAGAAGCTAATTCAGTTTTGTTTCGGGTTATATCAACGACAAGAAAAGTAAAAGCCGAAAAAAGAAGCTGCTAGGATGGAAACCTCCACAGGAAACAAAATACTGCCTTGTTTCCGGCTATATCAACGGCAAAAGAAGAAAATTCAGACAATAAGGAAGAAACTATTTGGATATACATCTCGACAGAAAGCTACTTCCGTTTGGTTTCCGGTTATATCAACGACAAGAAAAGTAAAAGCCAAAATAAAATTGAAGCTGTTTGGACAGAAACCTTAACAGGAAATAAAATCATGTTTTATTTAGGGCTATATCAACGGCAAAAGAAGAAAAGTCAGCCGATAAGGAAGAAACTATTTGGATGGACACCTTGGTAGGAAGCTAATTCCGTTTGGTTTCCGGTTAGATCAATGTCAAGAGAAGTAAAGACCGACCGACAAAGAAAAAGCTATTTAGATGGAACGCCGAAACTATCGGAATTAGTCGATATGCAGTCGGAAGCTCAAGTGAAACGCCTGTCTACAATAAGACACGGCACTAAGAAGAAAACCTATTAAAATAAATGTTTTTCTCGAAAAACCGCGAAGAATGAACAATTTTTGAATGCCTTAAAGAACAATATGTGGTTTGATTATGTTAGTAGCACATACATATAGCCTGACCACCTTTTTAAAATCTATCAATTTGAAGTGGATTAAATATCTGAAAGTTAATTACCTATCGTGAGCTTATTTGAAAACATTAAAATGAGTACCTGGTGCAATATGCCGATAAAAAATCTGATTATAAGTAAAGTTAATTCAGATATCTTGCTCATTAAAACTTTTGCCATTGCCAAATTTAGTTTAAAGGATGAGTTGGTAATATTTCCTGTAAATTTTGCTTACCTGTGAAAACAAATGGCAGCGAAATGCAGAAATCCAAAATTGGCAACACAATTCTGTGTCCGTGCAGCTGATGACAAAAGACCAAAGGCAAAATATCAACCGAGCGTTAAGGATGTTAAAGGGAAACAAAATGTTGGTCACAATTTAGAATGAAAAAGTTACTGAGGTTAGGCCGCATATGAGATTCAGCTCTGTTTGTAGGAAAGAAAAAAGAGGATCAGCCTCAGTGTCAAATTTTAGGCCCCGATTTATTTCCCAAGTAATTTAAAACAAGGATGCAGCTAATTTTGAGGCTCCCAATTTTTATGATTTTTCATTTCCTTCGTCAGATTATAGAGATGAAAAAACAGATATATTTCATCAAGTAGACATTTTTAACATTATTTAGGACAGGTTGGTGGCATAAATGTCTAGTAGTAATCATGAACAAACTGATTATTACGTGATATGAAAAGGTCAGATTGGTTTACGAATGAACAAAAGAGAGGCAGGTAGGTGGTAATTTTTGCACCTGAATTAAATCACGGATAAGCACAAAAAAAACGTAAACGGGAAATTGTACGGGAAATTGTACCATTGTCTGGTGCTTAATTTGTAGATTGAAGCTGGCCGTTAGATGTGCTAGACTACATGTATAATAGGCCGTGGGTACTAGTAAGTGTGAATTTAACTGGGAGGGGAGAGAGATAAAACTCAGGAGAGGGGAGGTGGGGTGGATTAAGAATACAGCATGACTGACGCGCACAAGTTATTAGGGTTGAAGTGTCAGGTTTACTCTCACTTTGATAAGCAGTGGCCGAAGAGGTCATCCAGCATTCGCAATTAATTATCTTTAACGGGGACTCAAATGTAGAAGTTTGCTGTTATGCAGTGAATTATTGATGGAAATCAAACGCCACTTAAGTCCCGATGGTTTACAGACTGTAAATAATGATCTGAATAACAATTTTTAAAAACGACGTTTTATTAAAACAATCTAATTGATAAATGAAAAATCAAGCAGTCTGATACGATGAACTGTTTATTAAAGTCAAAATGGGAATCGGGAAATTTCTTGATTCTTTTTGATTTTCTGGAATGTTGATAGAGTAATAGTTGATACCAACAAACAGGATGTGTTTGAAAAAAGCTTTCGAGTGTTAAATGAGTCTGAACTATTTCTCTAATATTCATGGGAAAAAGGCTTTTCACAAATTACTTGGTTCAATGCAGGACCTCAATTTTATTTCCCAGGGGCATTTTCGTCACTTTCAAAGCAAACCTACATAGAGTATTACAGAGACAGGCCACTGCATTGAGTGTAACAACGGAAGAGGCAGGGAAAATCAGTCAAAATTTGAAGTCTATAGACAAAGAAGACAGATGTTCCAACTTTCTTTTCTCCAACCTCGCAATCAGCAAATTTTAAATTAAAAGCAGGCAACACGTCAAAGATTGGAGAAGAGGATTAAAAGATTAAGAGTCCTAAAAATATTCTTCATCTCATTGCAAAATATTGATTGAAACGACAGTCCGTATCAGGGCAAAGTCCTATATTTTCTTATTAACCTTTGCAATTGTTTAATTGCCGTCCACTGGTTTAAGTTTTTTGTTGTTAAAAAAAATCAATTTTTGTCATTTTTTGATATTTCAAATAAACCAAAATGCAGAAACTACATACCACTGAAAACCAAAATTGGCAAAACTTTTATTTCAAAAATGATGAAAGTCAGAAAAAACCTGAGTGCGATACAAACTTTTTCCTGAGTGTAGTTTTTCTTTACGCTTCACCGAAACCCGTAAGAACTAAGATGATACATTAGGATAGGTGCAGTTATGCTTCTGACCTGTTTCAAGCAAAATGGTATCCGAGCTTGGTTTTAATCGCGGTCCTTCGTGACGCGAGCCAGCATGAGAAACACTCAGTTACAAGTGAGGCAAACAATAACTAAATGAATAAAAAAAATTTATGAGAAATTTTAATTTTATGAATGAAGCAGTTGAACAGAGCAAATCAAATATGAATTAAAAGAAAAGAACAAGATTCCCTACCGAAGATTCTTGGATAATAATCGATTATGCTATCAGTTTATAAGAAAAATAAAAACAAAGTATAAGGAAATATGGGAAAAACTTTAGATACAAAAGAAAACTAAAACAAACAAAAACTGTTTTCTCTGTGAAATTAAAGAAAAAAAAACGTTCGTTTTGCGAACATAAGGTTCAAGTTTTGAATTTAGTTAAAAACTACTTATTTTAGAAAAACGATTATTGTTCCGATTTTCAAAGAAAGTAAGGAACAAATGTGCACGGGTGTAATTCTTTTTATTCGGATCAATTTTCAGAAGTTACTCTTGAGGGATCTATCCCTTGCTATTCGTATTTACCGAAGACTCGCGCTCACCACTATACTAACGTTCTAGATTCTGAGCAATGAGTCTAACTAAACCATCAAAATTTTGAGCGGTTTTATATGGTTGGTTATGATGACCAAATATATTTGTCATGGGATAATTAGTCTGCATGTCAATTTTCGTAACAATCGGACAATGTCAACAAAAAATTAACTGTAAAAACTTGCAGGTGGGTGGGGAGGAAAGAAAAGTGCCTGTAACGCTTGAAAAGTGGGATCTTTTCCACTCCTCCCACATTTAAATTTCAATTTGAAAAATTAACTTAACGTTGTCTTAATAAAAAGAAAATTTGCATGGTGAACAAACTAACTACTGTGAATAAACATGATCTTCATACCTAATGTCGTACAATCACGCAGTCAGCCATATTAAAACTTAAAACAACTGTAAAACTGAAAACTTGAAACGTTGGGGAAAGGGAGTTAGAAAGAGCCAAAATTTGATATTATCAGCCTAGAATTGTAGTTTGTTAAAATTTGATGAACCAAATTTATTCAAGACCTATACAATCTAGAATGGATTTTATCTCTTTGAAAAACAGTATTTGAACAACAATTCTCATTTTCAGACAATAACTATGAAACGACAATCAAATCAATTTTTATCCATGGATCTCCAATGCGGAACTTTTTTAATTTCTGTTCATCGAAATTTGATTGGCTCTGTTCCCCTGCCTTATGCACACCAATGTTCAAAAACACTTACAATAGTTAGTTGGTTTGGAAACTTTTATTTGTCGCAGTTGTAGCGTAACAAATAAGCGACGAGCCAGTAATAATATTAATAAATCATATTATTATGATAAACTAATTGAGTAATGTACAAATTTGTGGGAAATTTGCGGGTAATTACTAATATTATTCAAACGAGTAATGTGAAAAATTTGTGGGAAAATTTATGCATAAAGCAGTGGAACAGAGCAATTAGAATATGATTAAACAGGAATAAACAAGACTCTGCAACTGAAATTCTTGGACAATAATCGATTATTTGGTCATTTTTGAATGTTTCTAAATATGCAAAAAATTATTTAAAAAAATTGTGCGTTTAATCTTTGAGAAAATGAAAAAATTCGAAACAAAAAAGTCAAAAAACCCTCAACTGAAACTTTCGAAGGCCGTAGACGTTGGCTAAAATGAAAAGATACCAGCGAAATATGCAGGCACATAGTAAAGCAGCTGTTTTGTTCGATGTTACCATTTTTTCGAAAAACGGTATAAATAATTTAAAAAAAGATGAAATTTCTGCGAAAAGTGAGAAAATTTTCCAATGCGTCGCAAAAAAACAACAATTCCCATACATTTTTATAATACCTGTTTGCTTTTTAGACAGTAGTTAAAACTAGCCAAAAATGAAGCAACAATATATGTGCTATTAAATTGCCTATGCTTAAATAGGCTTAAAAATGATTAAAAATTGAAATCTAACTGAGCACCAAATGAGCACTTATATTTGCGGTTTAGGTTAAAAGAAAATCTTCGTAATAATACACTACGCTTCGTTTGTGTAAATAATCGATGATAATGGATTATGAACATTTATCAAAATTAGTCAAATACTTCTCAAACACTTCTCAAAAAACTGAAAAATAGGCTGTTGCCTTAAGTTACTTAGAAAACGTTCATTTTGTTTTCTGTTTTCGTCTCTCTGAGGTTTTTTGCCATTACTTATCATTTTTTAGTTTCTCAATCAGAGTTGGGAGTTTATTGAACATTGTTATTTAACATACAATTTAACATACAATATTATTTATAATTACTAACAGTGATTTTAGCTATTTCTTTAGCTAAATGAGGGTATTTCTTTAAAAAACACTCCGCATTTAACTGTTTTTCAAATTGAACATCATTCCGATTTGAAGGGGGATGATAAAAATTTTTGTGTGCTGAACTTTTTCAATTCGAGATTTTTGGTTTATTTTTTGAAATCTTCGACGTTATGTTTTCACGGTATGGGAAGCTCAGAACCCAACTCGGCGCCGAGAAAGCTAGAAAACTGGCATTTCTCTTCAAGAAAATTTATGCTTCTTAATGTGTTGAATTATTTAACAACTTAGCATAAATAACATGTTTTTTTTTCAATATTTAACTGTTAGTTTGTTATTTTCGAAAATAACATACAAATTTCCAACTCTGTTCTCAATCTTTGCTGGCTTTTTTTTCCTTCTGTATTTACGAACCTCCTTTGATCCCCTCTTAAGCATATAATCCTCGAAGATTAGAACTAGAAAACGCATTTTTTGGTCAAGATGTTCTAAAAACTGCGCGAAAGCGTCATTGCACTGTTTTTCACAACGTCGAGAAAACTTTCGAACTTTTAAAAATTCTACCCTCCACGCTTTACCTATACTTATTCCATCTAACCACCCCCACTTTTAATACGTATACCAAAAGACACTAAGTTAATGGTGAACAGCGTGCCGCAAAACAAAAACACAATTCTTCAAAAAAAAAGCTATCCCGCAACATAACAAAAAAACGCGAGCTTTTTTATTGCGGGTTATCGCATTAAGAAGAGCATACATTGGCGCATCTTATATTTGAGCAATTTCAAGTTCCGCGACTCTTTAGCAAAGTTGTTTAGCAAAAACTTAGGACAATATCAAAGATCAAGTAAGGTGCAAAACTCATTCGACCGATTAGCTAGCCTCAATTCAATTTGATGTGATTTTTTGTGCTGGATAATTCGCCACGTATAAAATATTTCGCATACGCTTTCAGGATTATGGATAAAATCTTCTAAGTTCGCGTAAAATTCTACCCTCCACGATTTACCTATACTTATTCCATTTAACCACCCCCCACTTTTAATACGTAGACCAATATACATTAAGTTTATGGTGAACAGCGCGCCGCAAAACAAAAAAAACAATTCTTCAAAAAAACGCTATCCCGCAACAAAAGACAAATAAAACGCGAGTTATTTTGTTACGGGTTACCGCATTACGAAGAGCATACATTGGCGCATCTTCCATTTGGGAAATTTCAAGTTCCGCAACTCTTTAGCAAAGTTGTTTACAGGAAAAAGAAGTACCCGATAACAATTCCCTTGCCAATCACATGGGTAATCAAAGACTGAAGTAAATTATCAGTGCAGCGTAATAAAGCCATTTTAACTAGATAAACTCTTATCAATAGGTTATTTTAACGCTGGGAACTCAACTAAATTCACAAAATTAAGCTCCTCATGGAAAAGAACAAGATTTATCGTATATCAGGGCAAAGCTTCACCTCAATCCATATCGAATAGTTTTTAGGACAAGAAAATATTGAAAAACTTAAATTTTGGACAATATATGTCAAAGATCAAGTAATGTGCAAAATTAATTCGACCGATTAGCTAGCCTCAATTCAATTTGGGGCGATTTTTTTTGTGCTGGATTATTCGCCACGTATAAAATATTTCGCGTTACGCTTTCAGAATTAAGGATAAATCTTCAAGTTTGCGCAAATTATTCCAGAGCAGGACCAAATAGGCAATTTTCAAACTCCCAAAACGTGGAAAAATTATCGAAGGTAAACTATATTTTAATTTTGATATCAGGAAGTCAATATGTTCAATGGGGCATAAAAATTTTTCGTTAGAAACTATTATTTCGATCGCTGAAAAATGACTGAATAAAAAACACCTCAAGCATAAAAAATTCCGTTGTCTTTGAAAGACATAACAATTAGAACATAGCCAACAGACAGTCAGAAACGAGTCATGAACTCAGGCAAACAGAAAAAAAAAGACTTGTTTGATAAATCAACTCAATTGGCAAAAACTGAATCGATGGGTAAAGTTATTATTCCGCTGGGAAATCTGAAAATTTAAATCCACTTTCGAAATTAGAAGTCAATCACGTTTCTCGTGACCGTTACACTTTTTTGTCATTCGATAGTGTAGTTTGCCTTACTTTCAAACAGGGGCGGATCTAGGATTTTCTCGAGGGAAGGGGGTAGATTTTTAAAAAAAGGCGTTTTTAGGCACTTTTGAAAAATTT